CCACCTAATCCAATCCATCTACCTGCTGCAGATCCACACAGGTTTGGGGTTTTTTTTCCCCCGACTGTGTAACTTTCCCGCTGCATGAAGGAATTAGATCTCGTGGAAAGATGTATAAATCCATTTTCTGTGCTTTTCTAGTTGGCACTGTGAAAAGACAGTCTTTTTCCTGGTAGCATCCTATCCATCAGCACTGAGAACAAATCTTTCCTTGGAAGCTTGTTTGCCATATGATTGATCCCAGATTATCACGGTGCACTAACCCCCACTCGAGCAATTAAAGGCGTTGAAATCTCTTAGTGTGGTCTTTGTAGCCAGTGAGCCACAAAAAGCACTGGAAGTTCAACTGAACCAACTGATTGTAGGAGGGGTTTTAACTTGTTTTCTTCAGCTCCCGCTCTCAGATCCGATGCCAGGAGGGTGGGTGGGCACACAGGAGTGTGACATCCAGGTGTGATCCCACGCAGAGGGGTCCCAGGGGCACAGGAACAGCTCGTGGCTGCTTCCTGCAGATGTTCCTGCAGATCCAGATGTGCACAGAGGGCTGAGCTGCAGTGTCAGCGGGCAGGACCAGCACCTCGAGCTGGTGGCTGGTGGCCAGAGATGCTCTTCCCAAAGTAACAACCCTCCACTTGTGTTATCTACCGATTTCTTTCCTTTTCCTTGGCTCAGGAAGTTTGGGAGCTGTCAGGGACTCCTTTCTAAAACGTGTCTCCCAGAGGAGACAGCGGGTGCTTTGCTACCAACCAGTTCAAAACTTGAATATTTACTCCAAAAGCCATCATTACCTCGGTCAGACCCTCCCAGCCCCATCAAACAGCTGCTGGGAGGTGAGTTGGAGCTTTGAGAATCGTGTCTGTGAGTAACAGTCCCAAAATGGTAAATTATCCTCGGTGTAAACCTCAGAAACCCTTTAGGTGAGCCCTGAATTTTGAATGTACTGCTCTACAGGACATTTGAAGTGCATCTTTAGGGACAGTTTGGGGCTTGCAGTTATTTGGGGATGCAAATGGGAGCTGGTGGAGGCTGAGCAGGTGAAGCTGATGTGTCCTCAAGCCTTGGGCAGACCCGGGTGTCCCACACCCAGCAGGGTCTTCCCTTCCCAGCCCCCCAGTCAGCTGGAGCCTGGCTGAGTGCCTGGATTAATCCTACAAATGCCCCATTTCACCCATATTTGCATGTGAACACAACAAGGGAAGGGTTAAAGACACTTCAGGATGTACCCACTGCAAAGCAGCAAAAAGAGGCACTCAAAGGGGATATTTTTTCCCATTTCACCCCTGAATAAACCCAAATTCCTCATTAAATATCTCCATGGGGGTTGCTTTCCGCATTCACCTGCACAGTGTTTCTGTGCTGACCGTTGGGTCCAAGGCATCACTTTTGGGGCAGGAGGTGGGGATTCTGGCCCCGGCAGCTTTGGGGGCTGTTGTTCTTCACCGGTCAAGTTGAGGGCAGAGAGGAGAACTTCCCCAACCCTTCTCCCTGCCTCAGTTTCTCCAGCTGCAGGACAGGAACAACACCATCTGCAGAGCTCCCACAGGCCCAGCCCGGCGTGTGAAGACTCGGGGGTTTGGGTTCGCAGGGGATTCGTTTGATCTGGAAATAGCAGGGTTAGAAAATTCCATCTGCTGCTCTCGAGAGCCCTCGACAGCACAGGAATTTCGCTGCATCTCGAGGCTGGGACGGTGCTGCCTCCTGGGGCAAAGCAGCCCTGCTTGGCTCCTGTCCTAAAGCAAAGCCACATTCCAGGAAGGCTTGGTGTGGAGAACAGAGCAAGGCACGTTTCCCTTCCCGCTCCCGTGTGGGGCTGTGCCTGTGGCTGCTCCCACGCTGTGCCTGGCACGGGCAGCGGGATCAAAGCCTGGATTTGGACCTTGGAAACCCCACAATTTTGTGTCTCCAGTGGTGCAAAGCCAAGTTGGGACCTCGCTCTTGTCTCGTGGCATCATCAAGCCAGGGTGGACGGGGCTTGGAGCAACCTGGTCTAGTTGAAGGTGTCCCTGCCCAGGGCAGGGGCTTGGAACTACATGATCTTTAAGATCCCCTCCAATCCAAAAAATTATAGGATTCTGTGATTCTATGATCGTTTCCCCACCTTAGATCTTCATCCTCACTCAGCCATGCTCACCCAGCATGGAGGGTTAGGTTTGTTGTCAACAGTCTTTCCACACATGGACAACAGCCCCTTCTCTTCCCTGTCTCTTCCCTGTCTCTTCCCTGTCTCTTCCCTGTCTCTTCCCTGTCTCTTCCCTGTCTCTTCCCTCTCTCTTCCCTCTCTCTTCCCTCTCTCTTCCCTCTCTCTTCCCTCTCTCTTCCCTCTCTCTTCCCTCTCTCTTCTCTCCTTCCAGTGCTCTCTAGGTCTGATATTTTCCCTGTCACTCTCACCTCCAGGCATCTGTCAGGGCTGTGCCAGTCAAGCAGTAAAAAGCCTCCTGTCTTTAGTGATGCCTGGAGTCACCCAAGGAGCTTGGGCTGAGGTCCCACTGCAAGTTAAGCTAAACACAGAATGGTTATTACAAGCTCTTCCTCCCCAGCTGTCCAGGTCTTCTAATAAATACACGGGTTTCTCTTGAAAGCTTTTTCAAGGTTTATTTTTGAAACAATCTGCATTTGATTAAAGTTTTGTTTTGTTTTTTCAAAAGGGACTTAAAAGGGCCATCGGCCTGTAAACATAAATATTCCCATTCTTTCACTGATTCTTTGCATTTTTCTGGGTTTGCTAATGAAGGGTATTGCAGCAGTGCAAGTCTCTGTGATGTGGGCAGCACCCTCTGCTCCTGCTTTCAGCTCAAGGCCCTTGAACCCACGTTGTGCGAGTGAGTTTATCCCACAGAATCATTTAGGTTGGAAAAGAAATATTTTTTTCTTGGTTGTATTTTCCTCCTGTAAAACCTTTTGCCAAAATATCTTGTTTTTTCCTCGCTAAATTAAAAGAACTTCTCTTGGAGAAGAGCGTGTGACTCTTTGTCCAGAGGCTAATTTGAGGTTGTAGGAAACCAAAGGGCTTTTAAAAAGTCTGTAATAAAATGTAACCTCTCTGGGCAGTTTATGGCTTAAAATCTGGAGTGGAACACTGCCCCTGGGGCAAATTGAGGCAATTTCCTCTTGTCCTTTCCACTTGTTATCTGGGAGAAGAGCCCGACCCCCATCTTGCTCTCCGCTCCTCTCAGGGAGTTGGAGGGAGGGAGAAGGTCCCCCCTGAGCCTCCTTTTCTCCAGGCTGAGCCCCCCCAGCTCCCTCAACCATTCCTGGTGCTCCAGCCCCTTCCCTGGACACGCTCCAGCCCCTCAATGTCTTTCTTGTCATGAGGGGCCCAAAACTGCCCCCAGGATTTGAGGTGTGGCCTCACCAGTGCCCAGCACAGGGGGGGACAATCCCTGCCCTGCTCCTTCTGGCCGCCCCGTGGCTGAACCTCACAAAACCGTGGTTTTTATTCCTGCAGGTTATAACTGAGTAGCCCTTATGACCAACATGAGCTGGAGCTTCCTCACCCGCCTGCTAGAAGAGATTCACAATCACTCCACCTTCGTGGGGAAGGTCTGGCTCACCGTGCTCATCGTGTTCCGCATCGTCCTGACCGCGGTGGGGGGCGAGTCCATCTACTCCGATGAGCAGAGCAAGTTCACCTGCAACACGAAGCAGCCGGGCTGCGACAACGTCTGCTACGACGCCTTCGCACCGCTGTCGCACGTCAGGTTCTGGGTCTTCCAGATCATCGTGATCTCCACCCCTTCCGTCATGTACCTGGGCTACGCCATCCACAGGATCGCCCGCTCGGCCGAGGAGGAGAAGAAGTTCAAGGGGTTCAAGAAGAAGAAGCAGTTTGCCCTGAACTGGCAGGCCGTGCGCAACATGGAGGACGCGATGGAGGCCGACGAGGAGGAGCCCATGATCTCGGACGACGCGGCGGAGCACGAGAAGGCCAAAGCCAAGCCCAAGTGCAAGGAGCCGCAGAAGCACGACGGGAGGAGGCGCATCCAGCAGGAGGGACTGATGAAGATCTACGTCTTCCAGCTGCTCACCAGGGCTTCCTTCGAGGTTTGCTTTTTGATAGGGCAGTATTTGCTCTACGGCTTCGAGGTGGAGGCGTATTACGTCTGCAACAGGGTGCCCTGCCCTCACACCGTGGACTGCTTCGTGTCCCGGCCGACGGAGAAGACCATCTTCCTCCTGGTGATGTACGTGGTGAGCTGCCTGTGCCTGCTGCTGAACATGTGTGAGATGTTCCACCTGGGCTTCGGGACCATCCGCGACGCCATCCGCAACCGGAAAATCAACAGCTTCAGGCAGCCGCCCTACAACTACGCCTACCCAAAGAACATCTCCTGCCCCCCCGAGTACAACCTGGTGGTGAAGTCGGAGAAGTCCACCAAGATCCCCAACAGCCTGATGGCCCACGAGCAGAACTTGGCCAACGTGGCCCAGGAGCAGCAGTGCACCAGCCCGGACGAGAACCTCCCGGCGGATTTGTCCACCCTCCACAAGCACCTGAGGGTGGCCCAGGAGCAGTTGGACATCGCGTTCCAGAGCTACAGCAGCACCCAGGCCAACACCCAGCCCTCCAGGACCAGCAGTCCCGCCTCGGGGGGCACGGTGGTGGAGCAGAACAGGGCCAACACCGCCCAGGAGAAACAAGGTGCTAAACCCAAGGCCTCCTTGGAGAAGGGGAGCTCCAGCAGTAAGGATGGGAAGACGTCTGTGTGGATATAACTTTGTGGAAGAGGTGAGGGGGCAGCATAAGTGGGGGGGTTATTTTGGTTTGTCTCTGGTTTTTGGCGTTACCTTGCGTTCGTTTCGCTGGGCGCAGGCACAGTTTTTGTCTGGAAGTCGAGAGAGAGAAGGAATTTCAGACCAGTTTAGTGCTGTCTTCCAAGGTGTTGACAAAGGACATTTCTTCCCTGTTTCCAACGTGTTCTCCAGCTGGGAACCTCCAGTGAGTAACAGCAACCCCCCTGCACCTCCCACCCCTTTGGCCACCACCAGAGCCCCCAGCAGGGATGGACAATGCGCTGTGGTGGGACGTGGAGCTGCTGGTGGCTCAGGAGGGAGGTCAGGCTGGCACGAGCAGCCGCCCTCCTGCACGGCAAGGCTTGAGGGCTGCAGGTCAGGCGGCATTTAATTACTAAATACCCTTAATCAAATTAATTTCCGATCCCCTGATATGAGGACAACTGACGTATTGCACGGACCTTCACGACACGGCGTCCTGCCTGGATTGGCGGGTGCTCTTGCAGGGCATCATGAAGACGTTGTTGTTGGATGCTGCAGGCCAGGGGCTGGCACCCCCATCAGGTTATGGGGCGGGAACACGGCGACTGTCTCACTCAGAGAGCCCTAAGAACAGCCCAGCACTGAAGGTTTCAGCTTTTATTCCTCTGCATCAAAGCAAAAAGCAGATCTGCTCCGACCCTCCAGAGCAGGAGCGAGCAGTGACACTGCATCCTACCGGTGCCTGTGTAGCCCTTGCTACAGATGTGATGGGAATCCTTGCAGTTACAGAAGTTTTTTTAACAAACTGCTGCTTCACATCATCAGAAAGTGCCTTTATGCAACCAGGAAAACAAAAAGGGTAGAGGGTTTAGGCTTCTTTATTTGCTGAGTTTAAGTAGAGGTTGGAAGGTCGGCGTCGGCAAATTTGGTTTTTCTGATTAATCAAGGAAGATCTCAGTTGGCAAATCTGGGTTTTTTTTGATGAATCAAGGAAGATCTCTGGTGGTAAGTTTGTTTTTCTGATGAATCAAACCCTTATAAATAGTGGCAGAAGGCAGATCTATGCATAGTGTGTCTATGGTGTGTGTGTGTGTACCTGTACGTGTATATACAGACACATATGAACATGTGTGTGTGAATATAGACATAGAGAGATATATGTAAATGTAATATCAACCCTCTGGTCATTTTACAGCCTTCCACCTCCCCTGGGAAAACCCAGCTGCTCCAGGGCTGGGGCTGATCTCATCCTGGAGCAGTTGTTGGGCTTTCAGCCTCCAGCCTCACCTGGGCCATGGGGAGCTTTCCCACACTTCCTTGAGGGGCTTTGCAGGAGATCTGGCTTCGGTGGGGACAGGACCAGGATGGCAGCAGGAAGTTTTTCCTCAGTTTGTGGGGTGTTTTTTTCAGCTTGGCTTGTTTTTAGGGTGGTTTTTCTGCACTTGCAGTACTCTGGGGGCATGTTGAAAGCTGCTGAGCTCCAAGGCTCCTCCTGGTGCTGAGATGTGCTTTTTCAGGGTGGTTCCATCCCACGTCTCCTGCACAGCTCTGGGGCTGTGGCTTTTTTCCCCTACAGAAAGAAAAGCTCATCACTGAGAGCACAGGGAGCATCTCCTGCCAAGTGGCAGAGGCTGGAGCTGCCCAACTCTACCAGAGAGAGTCTGATCCCTGAGATGTTCCCAAGATACCTGTGGCTTGGCAGATGCTCTCACAACCTCCCAATAGTCCCATGGCTGATTCCTCACCATGGAGAACCCAAATAGGCAGAGCCTTCAAGATCAAGCCTAACACAAAAGAAGTCAATCCTCCCTAACACAGCACTGTCCCTGTGCTGAGCTGCTCCCTCAGGGCTGTGCCAGCCACCCAAAGTCACATCCAGGTCCCTGGACCAGTACTTTTTTCTCCATTGGATTTACAGAATTTCTTGCTGGGCATCACTATCATGTCCTTGAGATCAGTCCCTGAAGGCCTTGAGGATGCCTGTTGTGTCCAGGCCCTTTGGCTGTTCTGAGGAACAGGCAGAAAATTTGGATGTGCCCTTCATCTCCTGGGAACCTCAGCTGAGCTGCTCTATGCCTTTAGAGAACAAAAAGTGGAATTAAAAAGGAAGCAAAGAGACACCCTACAAGGTATCCAGCTGCAAATAGTCAGTGTGGCTTTGTGTAACAGCCTGGGGAAGACTTCCAGGCTTGTTCCTGGTCCTGCTGAAGGCATTGGTAAAATGCCTGGAATGCTGTTTGCTCTCACTGCTGGAGATCTTCCCCTCCAAAATGCATGGAGGAGGAGGATCAGCACATCCCCCCAGCCGTGGCAGTAGCACACATCCATCCCTTTCTGCTGGGAATTTTGCAGGAAAGGCTCAGAAAGTTCACACCACGGTGGTGGGGAGACAAACATATCCAACTGTGCTGTTTGTCCTTGTGTTCTCTCCTGGCTGGGGGTGTGCTGGGCAGAGCAGGAGAGGCTGGATGCTGACAGGGCTGCTGTCCCCTGTCCTAAATGCCTGCACGTCCACAGCCCAGGCTGCTGGGAAGGAGAGAGAGGTGCTCCTGGGTGGAAATCTCTCCCTAGTCATTACAGGGTTCAAGGTTGTCCTCCACATCAGTGTGACTTCTCTTTTATTCCCAGCCCTGTGTCCCATGGGAAACAGTGTGTATTTAAAGTCACGATCCCAAAGGAATGATGGAAGCTCTGAGGAGATCCATGGTTGGATGCTGCCTGGGTTCTTCTGATTCCTTTTGGATGAGCAGCCCTGGGTAAACTCGTCCTTCCCACACAACGCTGGGAAGTGCTGCCCTGTGCAGGAATCTGGATTTTGGATTTGTCCTGCCCATACCAGTGACATCTCCCTGAGCCCCAGATGTGACCTGAGCATTTCCCAGTGACTCAGATGTTCCCCTCAGCTCCTGCTGACCTGCAGGTTCACCGCTGAGTCACCAAGGGATGGGAATGTGCATCCCTTGCTCTTCCTTCAGGAAACAATCCTGGCAAATGTCTCGCTGTGGGGAAAGCAGGGCACAGATTTTAAGCCAAAAAACCCCAAACCTGGTCACAGAGACCTGATCAACTCATTAAACCCACTCTTACAGGGCAGGTTTACCTGCCTCAGTGATACAGGGGGTCAGTGCCTGATGGGAGGAGGTTCCAGGGCTTTGTGGCTGTAGGTTCAGAGACACTTGGAGCAGCAGGGTTAGAAAAGGACCATGGATCTTCTTGCCAACTTGCCACCATCAAATGACTCCTTAAGGGGTAACATGAACCCTCCTCACTGCAACCCCTGGTGTCTCCTCCCCTCAGCAATGGAGAATGTCTCATGCTTTTAACATCTGCATATTTTGGGTGTTTGAAGATTGTTTCCATCCTCAAATCTGCTTTAAGCCAAACAACTCCAGCCTCATCAACCTTTCTCCAAGGGCTGCTTTTCTAGTGTGGTTTTCCCTGGTGTCTTTGAACCAACACCAGCCATTCCACATCTTCCCAGTGGCGTGGCAGTGCCAGTCCTGGGGCCATCTCCCCTCTCCTCTCCATGCATCCATCTGCCACCCTGCTCCTCCCCAAAACCCCATCCTCTGCAGGCATGGGGATTGCTCCCCTCTCCAGATGTGTGGTTGTACATTTGGGACCCTCCTGCCCTCCTTCAAACTGCTTTTTTTACTGTCCCACCACAGTCCTGGGGTTCTGGGTGACCTGTGGGTCCTGCAGCGGGTTCACAGCCCCCTCCCTGCTGGTGTCACCAGCACACTGAACACTCACATGCAGTTTTCCATGGGCAGAGTCAATAATTGCAGTATTGATGAGTGCCAGAGCCAGGGCAGACTGTTGGGTGATCAATACACCCCCCCTTGCTTAGGGACACGGGGTACCCATTCCCTGCACCCTCCCTCAGCCAGCCCTGCTCATCTGCCAGCCCTGAGGTGCTTCCCTGCATAACATCCCTTCCAATGCTGCTTTCCCGTGTTTTCCAAGTGTTTTGGCAGGGATTGAAGCACGAGGGCACATTCCCAGCAGGAGTGCTCCTGTGTCATGAGCTGTCTGGGAGAGATGCAGAGTTTCCTACAGGTCCCAGCCAGCCTGGAGGGCACCACTGGCTCCTCTAAGCCTGGGGAGGAGGGATCCTGGTTCTCCCAGATCCCATCTGAGCCAGCACAAGTCAGACAGCCCTAGAAACAGACAAGATTATTATTCTTCTTATTATTATTACTCTGTATACTGCGTTGCTCACTTTCCCCCTTCCTCCTCCACTCAGTGACCTCTAAATCCTCTAGGATATTGCCTCTTCCCACTGAGTCACTGCCACGAAGGCATTAATGACTCTGCAGGAATGACTTCTTTTGGGGGAGGAGCAACTTTTGTCCTGTCAGCTGGGGAAGGAAAAGGACAAACAGGCAAAATATGCATAACCACGAGCAAAATCCCCATCAGAATCATTCCAAACCCAACCAGCAGCTCAAGGAATTTCAGTTAAACCACGGAGCATCAGCCATGGAAGAAATGCCAATAGTACAATTAGTGCTTTGCTTTCCTTTTTTACAGTTTGCAGTGTTGTTCACACACGAGGCAGGTTTGGCTCTGCAGCTGAACTAATTGTAAATGTTGACTCTCTTGCTAAACTTGGTCAGATGAAGTGCCCACACTTATATTTCTCTTCTTACCATTCAGGGCCAGGAATGTCCCAAGTAAAAGCCAGATTACCTTCTTGCTTGCATTGCATTCCACTGGGAAATACTTGAACTTAACTCAAGGCCATAACCAGTCTGTGCTGTTACAAAGCGTCTGGGATTGTTATTTTTATTGTTGTTGTTGTTATTTTTTTTTATTATTATTATTATGTACTAACTGTATTTGTACTAGAAATTTTTGGAGTATGAGGTTGAATCTGTAAGTATTTTTCAGTGTAAATGTTATTACATCTTGGACTGTAGTTAGAATATTAAACACTGGTCAAAGGAGAAGGAGACATCACTCCAGCTCTTCAACTGGTTGTTCCACATCCATTACTAATAATATGGAATAAAACTTACATTTTGTTACGTTATGCAAAGCGTGTGATGTTTCCTTGAGCAGGGCTCTCGAGTGCTGAGGAGAAGTTGTTCTCAATCCATTATTTGCCTGTTTTAGCCATGGAGGAGCTCTTTTTTCCCCCGATATGGCTATAAATCATTGCAAAATAGTTTTGCCTTAAGAAGCAGTTGACCTTCTAGTTGTTTGGGATGCGTTGTCTCCCTGATGAATCACTGCCTGCAGTTCCTTCAGGCACGGAGCTCGAACTGCTGAGGAAAGCCTGCGCTCCCAAAAGCAAGAAAACTTGGGAGAATCTGGGAGAAACTGATGATTCAGGC